CTCGGTAAGGATCATGGCCCAGGCCCGGGGAAGGGGGGGGGGGGGGCGCTGCCCCCCCCCCTCCGGATTTTACCAGGGGGGGCACGAGCCCCGTTGCCCCCCCCCCCCCCCCCCATAATCTACGCCTATGGTCACAAGTGCATCTCTGAAGAATACTGAAATCCGAGTCGCACTTCGTTGTTCTTGCACCATTACGTGGGAATATCAGCCGAGAAAGCAAACCGTATTTTTCTCACTGCATAATAAACGCTGCAGTCTCCCAAAGCTCAAGCCCCGCTCGAATGTAGCGCTAACAGTTTGGAACACGATGTGAGATTAGCATGAATCAACCTTCCATAAAATAAACTTTTTGCAACTATATTTTTCAAAAATACTAAATGTAAAACCAAAAATGTTAGTGTGACTGTTTTAAAGAAGAACGCTATTTACTAACTGAACGTTGGCGAAATTTACTGTCTAACTTTTTTATCGAGAAAACGCTGATGTTACTATGAAAGCTTTAATTCACCGTACCTTATCGCCCTCTTGAACATCGATAATCTTCTTGCCTGTAGATGGGTTGATAACCGGGAATACCTTTCCACTGACCGAGTTGACAAACTCGTTGTTGATGAAGATCTAGAAGATAAAATTGCGAATCACAAAACCATTCGTTACGCATCTATATTTAGTCGGGCTGGGGGTCGATTACAAATGTTAACCCAATTAATCTCCCCTTTAATTGATTAATTAATCAATTAATTGGTTTAGTTCCTTCCCATGCATAATATATATATAATGGGAATGATTGAAGATTCACAAGTGCAGCCGTAGTAATATTGTGAACGAAGAGAAAAGAATATATATATACATATTGTAACAGCGCAACTTCATCACCATCAACATCCACACGATCATTACCCTCCACAACAGCGCACCGCCTGCACGGGCGGTGTGTGGCTCATGCTAGAGCTCGCGGGGCAAAATTGCTCCAGGGCTCGGCCAGTAAAGCCGGTGTTTTTTATCTCTACACTTTGTCTTTCTTACACATGGTGGAGGTGCGGGGTATCGATCCCCGTACCCGTACGCACGCCAGGGCTCTCCGAGAAACTCCTCCACAAATATCTTGGGCCATATACTGTCCTTCATCAAACATCCCCAGTCAATTACACCGCGACCCCGCTAAAGCCTTCAACCATTCGGCGCTGCCGGGCGCTACAAAACGTTCATGTATCCCGCATGAAGCCCTTCGTCCAGCGCTCCGACCATGGCGCAACTTCATCACCAACCTAAAGGTCGGCCAGGAGGCCTCCATCTTCCTCTACGGGGAGGATATCGTAACAGCGCAACTTCAACACCATCAACATCCACACTATACTCTGTTTCACCTTATGACGTACCACAGGGAAGGCTACAAGCACGAGCTCCTTGCTCTAGGACACATCTCGGTGGCACCAGCTCTCGTGACTTAAGAGCAGCTCCCAACGCTATGAGCTCGCGCTTCTAGCCTTCTCCGTTGTACAACATAAGGTGAAACGGAGTATATCATTACCATCCACAACAGCGCACCGCCTGCACGGGCGGTGTGTGTCTCATGCTAGAGCTCGCGGGGCACAATTGTTCCAGGGCTCGGCCAGTAAAGCCGGTGTTTTTTTTATCTCTACTTTGTCTTTCTTACAAGATATATATATATATATACATATATATTCAGAAATGGCCAAATTCATATGTTTGCCTCTGCTGAATATGTAATAAACGGCTCAATGTACAATTTCGGATTTCAAATCAACCTTGATGTGTAGTTGAGAACAACCAAAAGACAGGCACCCCCACAAATTATTCCTTCAGTTGCAGAGGAAAAGAAGTTCGGTGATCTTCTGCAGCAATAGCGAACTCCTTTGATTGTTCAGAATAGTCTATCCTACACTAAACGTACATTGAAGTTGGCTCGGACACGTACAACGTACTGCACGTGTTTGGTATTACAAATCTCGCTCCTAGAGTTTACTTTAGGTCGAAATTTCACTTAAAGTTTGCCCTCATACATTTTCACTCGTCCAGTTCTGCGCAGTGAAAGCGTTAAACTGGTCTCTCTTTTCTTTTCTTTTATTATTGTCAAAATTTAACCGATTGACGGGTTAAAAAGTTAATCGCGATTATAATATTAATTTATTAATCGGTAGGTTGATGAATCAAGTACTGAGCCCTAATTTTTCGTATATTTTGTTTCTCTACCATAGTTCCTTTTTTCAGTTACGTAAAAGTGGAGAACGAAAAGCTTTCCTTCCGCTTTTTAATACAATAACTGATTTGATTCGTTCCGAGTAGCAATACTAACAATATAAAACACGAAAATCGCTCTGTAAGCATTTCGAAGAAATATCAATGAAAATACAAAATGAACGAGCACACAAACTGCTTCGACTGAATTCTGTGTTGAAATATACGCGGTCGAGCAGACAAACCTGGCACTCGAAGAAGACTATCAAATCACTGCATTCTAAGACTCAAAGATACGTTTAGACATTAAAAAAATAAAAATTGTATGAGCCCTGTAACTGAGCTTGATAATTCACCGTGCCCAATGCCACAACAAAAACAGTTCTTTTTTTTTTAGATTTTAGGCATATTATTTGCACCGTCATTCATTAAGATCTCTCCCTAAATTGCTGCGATTGGTTCTCCTGTTGGCTTTGCCGGGAAGTCGACGCTCCATAGATCTTAGTGTATCGTTTTACCTGAGTAAACTGGATAGCGGGATTTCTGTTGGGAGCCATGCTTGCTTGCCGGGTAGTCGAGACCAAATAGAGAGCTGGATATCCGGCAGAGACCGTCAAATAATTACGCCGGCAAAGATATATATATATAAAAAAACCATAGTGAGGGAACAAGTTAACCGCCATCTGAATCGCTGCGCGGCAACTGCAGGGCAAAGAATGCCAGCTGCGACATCGCCTATATCAGTCTACAAATGTCTATGTATACTGCCCCACAGGGCATTAAGAATACACCAATAAAAAAATGAACACTTAAATAAATAAAAAGAGGAGAGCGGAAGGTTTATTAACCTCGAGTTATTTCGGCGTTTGGATCTGCGAGCGTCGAGACTGCTAAAACAGAACTCAGATTGTTAGAATACGTGGTCTCCGGTCTCTATCCGTATTAAATAGCGACATCAAAGACCGGTCGTGTTCCCAGTGGAGTAGCCAGCGGAGCGGCTTATGAAACTTCAGTACCCTGCCCCCTAAGAAGAAACTTCTGGCTAGGCCCCTGCCATTGTTACACCTAAAGAGTATTTGAAGTAAAGCACAATGAAGATGAGAGGTCATGTAGTACAAGTAGTAAGTACACCGGGCGCAATGTACTTGAAGTGAAACACTATAAATACAATATTTTAGCAAATACTTTTCGACACAATCTTTCATGATGTCCTTTAATTTCCTTACGCAGTGTGTGTGTGTGTGTGTTTTTTCTTAAACTGGTATGCTTTGCCCCAGGTATAATCGGGGCTGCATCAGTTATTTTTGGAAATAACGACGAATGTTAAAAAGTCAAATGGTCACAAAACAGTTCTTTTACTCTCACTGACGAACTATTTAACGCAATCGACTTATAATGCACTTATTTGTATCGGTTTTATAGTCGCCATTACTTCACTCAGAGGAAGGACCAGATAGCGTCTCGAAAGACGATAGCGCGTTTTCACACAACACTAGGCTTTTTTTTTTTTTTTTAATTGATGAATTTTGATGTTTGACCTTAGAAGTTATGTACAGAGAGCGTGCAACACCTAAAGGGGGCACGCCGATCCAACTGATGTTCCCGCCAAACGACTCTGTTAGGAGCCGCAACACGGCGCCACTGTCTTGTCTCACGCTTCTCATTATGAAGGGCTGTTTATACTCCGTCGTAACGTCAACGAGCGCGCGCGCTCGCTGACGCTCGCTGTCTGCGAACGGAACGTCAAGTTCAACGCGGCGCCGCGCTGAGCAGCTCGACGCGCGCCAGCGCAGCTTGCGACGGACTTGGACATGCTCTACGTTCAACGTTGGACGTCGACGGCGACGACGGAGGCTATCCCAGAAGCCCTCGCGCTAGTGCCTCGCTCATTCGGGAATCCGATTGTGGGGGCCAGTAGGAGTGTGCGAGATGCTCATTTCTGGGATCTGAACCTGCCGTTCTTATTGTGTGTCCTGTGCTGTTATCGTGTTGGTGTGCGTATTCAACGTTCGTGCGCTTGAATGGGCGAGTGTGTGCGTGGACGTGGACTGCTCCCGGGATGCGCTACCCTCGATCCTTGAGAGACCTATCGACCTAACGAGCCGGTGGTGGTGGGCCATGTTGTTGGGGTGCCGCGGCAAATGCTGGAAGCTCGATGACGCGCCAAAGGTAGGGTTAATTAGAATTAAGGATGACCTAATGTGTCTGCTATTTATAATCATCTGCTAGTCGCACTGACCGGCGGTGGTTCCCGAATGAAAAAGCGTCGTCGAATGTGCTGTATCGCCGTACGGCTGCGTCACCGCAACCAGGAGCGGCGCGTTCCAGCGCATGCCCGTGCCGGACATACGTCACCGGCGCGGGAGGTAAAAAGAGAGCGCTTGCCAATAAACCACGTTTTTCATGTCCCGGCCACCGGCGAGTCTGGTCGACGTTTCAGTGGCGACGAGGGTAAACCAATATGGCGGCACGCCCGCCGCAGTTCGACGAGACTGGGGCACATACCGGGTCCGGTTGGAGGCGTACTTCGAGGGTCACGGTATCACGGACGCGGCGAAACGTCGCGCGTTGCTGGTGTCTTCCCTAAAGCCGGGAACACATTTGCGAAAAAAGGCCGAATTTTATGCAAAAACCGCACACGAAAATCGCACGGCGGCTAGGCTCCTCCCCTTTTCCGAAAATCGGGAGCGGTTCGAAAGATCTGCAGCGCCAGATATTTTCGCACGGCGCCTCCGAATTCGGGGTGGAGGAGCTCGGTGAGCGAAAGCCCGGAACAGGACGGAACGAAAAGATACGATCGGCTCGCAACATGGCGGCTCACGCAGCTTCGGAAGCAGCGCAGCGTAGAAAACCCCTTCTGTCTCTATCAAAGGGTGGTGGTAGAAAGGCTCGCGTGGCTTGCAACGAGGTTTTAATAGCTGAAGTTTTAAAAAGGCGCGAAATATGGGACGCCAGTTCGCCACTCTACCGAACAGCCTCCTGAAGTCGGAACACGAAAACCGCAGTGCATTGGCGATTTCCGCGCCGCGCATTCCACCTCATGTGGCTCGTCATCCGAAAATCGCATGCCACGATTTTCGCAGCCTCCGATTTCTCTCCGATTTTCGGTTCGGTTTTTCGCAAATGTGTTCCCGGCTTAAGTGACAACGTGGTCCGAATTCTGCAAGGCCGCTGTCAATCGGCGTCCATCAACGGCCTGTCCTACGCAGACGTGGTTGGCTACCTAGAAGAACACTACGACCCGCACGCCAACGAGATTGCAGCTAGCTACTCGTTCTTCGTGCGGAAACAGGAAGAGGGGGAGAAAGTACAAGACTTTGTGGCAGAGTTGCGGCGGCTCGCGAAGCATTGCAAGTTCGGCGACACCCTGGACCGGATGCTGCGAGACCGAATCGTCTGCGGCATACGGGATGACGAAGCGCGACGGGTTTTGCTGACGCGTAAAAAGTTGAGCCGGGAAGAGGCGGAGGAATTCGTAATCGCGTCTGAGATGGCCGATAACAACGTCAGGGCAATAGGCAACCTGCAATGCTGTTTGGTTTGGCGCCATCCAGCGACTGAAACAAGAAATACTGGGTACCCTGGGAGTGACGGCTGCATTGTTCAAACGTGAGCTTTTACTCTGGTGGCGCCGCTTAGCCTAGTATCTGAAGCAAGAAATACTGGGTATCCCAGGAAGCCGTAATCGCGTAAGGTGCCAGTAGAGCGGAAGCTACGGCCCTGGCGGGCCAATCGGAACATGACTGCGTATCACCGAAGCGCGCCTCAACTCCGGAGAAGTATCACGCTTTTCGCTGCGTCATGCTCCAATATCTGTGCATTGCGCTTGTATACGTCGCGCATTTCGAAGCCTTCGGCTTGCAATGTGGGGCGTATCGTTCACCCTTTGCCAAGTTACAACGAGACAGGGTATAACCGTGCGCTCTCACGCTGCTGGCGCCGCCTGGTCGTTGCCGGTTGGCTATGGGAACGGCCCCCCAGGACTCAGCCGGCGGTACGCATTTCGTCCAAGGTCGGCGGGGTAACCGGAGGCCCCCAAGACAAGAAACCAGCGGTGCGAATCGACGCGCCTGGTGCTGGAGGTGCGACGCGAACCACTCCGAGGACGACTGCCGGCACCGCAAGACCATATGCCACAGGTGCGGCACCAAGGGACATCTGGCGAGGGTGTGCAAGTACAGTCGGCCCAGCCAGCCAGGTGCGTACGCGCTGGCGGACATCAACACCGAGGAAGAGAGTGGCGAGGAAATGCTTCACGCCCTGGTGGCTCACAGTACAGCCAACAAAGACACGACGCCGCCGATAGAGCAGGATTTGCTATGGGAAGGCAGGAAGCTGCGAATGATTCTGGATACGGGCTCCCCAGTCAGCGTAATTCCCGAGTGCGCTTTCAAAAGACACCGTAAACGGTGGCCGGCCCTGGAAACGACCCCCCTACGCTTGTCGTGCTTCCTGGGGCCGCTGCCCGTTGTCGGCAAGATCACCATGAGTGTACAGTACGGACAGACGCAGGTGCGCAGCTCGTTGATTGTGGTGAACTGCCCAGGGCCGCTGCTTTGCGGTAGGAATACGCTGCGGGCGTTTTACGACGCAGGGGCACCGCTTCTAGAAACTGGGGCACCGCTTGGGGTGAACATGGTGCAGGCCGGCGCAGAGGGGCAGGACCTACTGGAAGAATTTGCAGACGTTTTCGAAGAGAAGCTGGGGTGCTGCCAGGGCCCACCAGTAAAGCTGTACAGGAAGGAAGATGCGCGACCCCGTTTTTGTAAGGCGAGGCCGGTGCCCTACGCGCTTCGCGACAAGGTGTCGGCGGAAATCAACCGCCTGGAGAAGGACGGCGTGCTCTCGCCGGTCAGCGTGTCGGAATGGGCTACACCTGTTGTTCCGGTGGCAAAGAAAAACGGCGAGATACGACTGTGCGGGGATTTTAAGTTGACGGTAAATCCAGCTACACACCTGGAGCGATACCCCTTGCCTAAAATTGACGACATTTTCGCGGCGTTATATGGGGGGGAACTCTTCACCACGCTGAACTTACGCAACGCGTACAATCAGCTTCCTCTTGACGAAGAGGCTCGAAAGATGACTGTGCTGAACACGCACCAAGGCTTGTACTGTTACAATCGTCTGGCCTTCGGCATTGCGTCCGCACCGGCTCTGTTTCAACGGCGCATCGAGTCCCTCCTGCAAGGGCTCCCAAGGGTGCAAGTCTACTTGGATGACATCGTCATCGCAGAAAAGAAACACGACACGTCGACACTCCGGCAGGTGCTGCAGCGGCTACGGGAAAACGGCCTGAAGTTAAACCGAGCCAAGTGCCGTATCCGGGAGAAGCAAGCGTCCTTTTTGGGCCACAGAATCGATGCCCAAGGTCTTCATCCGGAGCGGACCAACCTCGAGGCAGTGACCGAAGCTCCAAGACCGACCTCGGTAAGCCAGCTCAAGTCTTTTCTTGGGTTTGTCACCTATTACGCCAAATTTTTGCCCAACTTGTCAACCACCTTGGCCCCTTTGTATAGATTATTGGCAAAAGGAGCGCAATGGCAGTGGGACGGGGATCAGGAAAGGGCTTTCCGGAAGACGAAGCAGGCTATGGCCGAAGCTAAGTTCCTGGTTCACTACAACCCCCGGCAACAGTTACGGCTAGAATGCGACGCGTCGCCAGACGGCTTGGGTGCAGTGTTGTCACATCGCATGCATGGGAAAGACTACCCCATAGCGTTCCGGTCGAGAACGCTGACGAAGGCAGAGCGTAATTATTCACAGCTCGAGAAGGAGGCGTTGGCGCTGGTTTTTGGAGTTACCAAGTTTCGAGATTATCTGTTCGGCAACCGCTTTACGCTCGTCACAGACCACAAGCCGCTGACAGCGCTGTTCCACCCTGAAAGAGCAATTCCACAAATGGCGGCGGCTAGAGTACAGCGTTGGGCGTTACTACTCGCAGCCTACCAGTACGATCTCGAGTACCGAAAAGGAAACCACAATGGGAATGCAGACGCTCTTAGTCGTCTCCCGTTGCCGGCGCAGGAGGAGGGCAGCAGTGAAGTGCTCACTGAATATGTGCTGTACACGCGGGGGTGGGACGACCATCCTATGTCCGCCCAGCAGATGGCCACCCTGACTACGCGGGACAGCCTGCTTCGCCAAGTAAAAGCCTGGATTTACGCCGGATGGCCGTCGCACCTGCGCCCGGAGCAGCACCAGTTCCTACCGTACTTCAGCCGCAGGTATGAACTCACAGTGAGCCACGACCTGGTTTACTGGGGGCATCGCGTAGTTCTACCGGAAGCTGCGCGAGCGTTCATGCTGACGGAACTGCATGATACCCACCCGGGAATGACTGCGATGAAGCGTCTGGCTCGCTCCCTCTATTGGTATCCTGGTCTAGACAAAGATATCGAAAAGCTGGTAAATAACTGCTCGACATGTATACAGTGTTGGACGATGCCTGCGGCACAGGTTCCTTCCAAGTGGCCGGAGACCCACCAACGGTGGTCCCGTTTGCACTTGGATTTCGCGGGGCCACTGGAAGGGTACATGGTTCTAGTACTGGTGGACTCGGAAACAAAGTGGATTGAAGCCATACCACTCAAAACAGCTTCGGCCGAGACTACAATTGGAGTGCTCCGAGAACTGTTTGCGCGTTTCGGAGTGCCACGAACAGTGGTTTCCGATAATGGGCCGCAATTTTCAAGTGCAGCGATGGCACGATTTTTACAAGGGAACCATATACGTCATTTCACCACTGCGCCCTACCACCCTCAGTCGAACGGGTTAGCCGAACGGGCAGTACGCACGATCAAGGAGGGGCTAAAGAAGAACAGGGAAGGCTCGTTGCAAGATCGTATTTCCAGGTTCTTGTGTCGTTACAGATCTACCCCTATGAAAGAGGGCAAGTCGCCAGCCGAGTTGTTGTTAGGCTTCAGGCCCAGGACAAGGCTAACCGGCTTCTTCTCGAGGGGCGAGGAAGCGCAGCACAGCGTGGTCGAGCCGCAAGCCCCGGCCACGACACCACCGCCATTTTCGCCAGGAATGCCGGTCTGGTCACGCCAGTTCCAGCCGAGGCGGAGATGGCTACCGGGGACTGTGGTCTCCAGTGAGGGTCGGCGCATGGTCACGCTACGCACACCGGACGGCCAACAGAGACGGCACCTGGACCAGCTGCGACCTCGAGACGCTTCAGGGTCCCCGGAAGGCGCTGACAAGGCACGTCGAGTCGCCGGCCGGTCGGAGGTGGGAGCAAGGCCGCCCAGCACCGACGAAAGAGAGGTCGCCACCAACGGCGATCCCGAGGTGACGCCCACAGCAGACCCGGTTCCTCTCAGGCGCTCTACGCGCCTGCGGAAGCCGCCGGACCGTTTGAACTTATAGGGGGGAGGGGATGCTGTATCGCCGTACGGCTGCGTCACCGCAACCAGGAGCGGCGCGTTCCAGCGCATGCCCGTGCCGGACATACGTCACCGGCGCGGGAGGTAAAAAGAGAGCGCTTGCCAATAAACCACGTTTTTCATGCCCCGGCCACCGGCGAGTCTGGTCGACGTTTCAGAATGTACGGGAACGCGGACACAGCGAAACCTCTGAGCTATTTAGCCGGCCAGAAATTTTCAATCGGGCTGTCTCAGCTTGTAAACGGTCTCAACGTGTAAACGATAGTAGATGTACGCTATGACAATCAGACTGTATCATGTATTGTTTGTGTAGATTTTGTAAAGTGCGTTACAATTTCGAACGCGTACATTGCATAACTTAGGCATCGTCCGCTCTCTTCGGTGTCCGCTTCTGTATTTGTGGAATATTGAGTGCATTGATTTCATCGAAGCATTCCGGAGGAATCGCCGGAGTCGCTTGGCACGATTCCAGTGAAGCTGCGAAGCAGCTAGGTTCGACTATACTTCGTTTCACCTTATGTCCGAGCGCGGACGATGTTATGAGCCGAAGGGCCAATCAAACAGCGCAAAAAGCGCAACGTCATGGCGTGCTCTCTGCGCTTTATAGGACTAGCCGGCTGATGAGCACGCACAGAGAGACGGCGAATACCGGTTGGTCCTATCAACTGCAGTCAGCACGCCATGACGTTGCGCTTTTTGCGCTGTTTGATTGGCCCTTCGGCTCATAGCATCGGCCGAGCTCGGACCACAGCTTAAACGAAGTAAAGAGTCACGGTTCGACGTACGCGATATCAGGCTTTCTTGTTGTTGTTGTCTTTGTGATTTGTGTGACATTTAGGAGAAAATAAATGCTGGTTTGCACTCGTTATCACCATCATTTGCTTATTTTTGAACTGCTAACCGACACCCCGACGGGTGGTTTTGAAGCGTGGCATGACAACACGAGGACGAACCACACTAACCGATTGCATCTAGCCTAGGTGGCGCAAGCTACCGCCCATAGATAACCAGTACAGACAATGAGCTGGCCACGGAGACGCGCATGCGCAAAGTGGGTCAGTTCATCGGGGTGCGCTGGACCAGCGTTGGTCTACGCTGGACTGTAAACACCATCGTTCGGGCACTTCTTCAACGCGGCGTGGCCGACGAACGTCGGTCTGCGCCGTCGCGCGTTGCGTTCGTCGACGTTGGAGTATGAACAGCCCTTTACTTCGCAGCCAATCAGATTTCGGCGTTACTCATTATGAAGGCCGAAGAAGGAATCAGGCAGCGCATGAACATAATCAGCCCTGCAGTTCTTTGTCCGTGAGAACGGCAGGGCACATTATGTTCATGATTCCTTCTTCGGACTTCATTATTAGTAACGCCGCAATCTGATTGGCTGCGGAGTGATAATAAGGAGCGCGCGACACCTAAGGGGGCGCGGAGATACAACTGATATTCCCGCCAAACGACTCAGTTGGGAACCGCACCGCGACGCCACTGTCTTGTCGCACGCTTCCCATAGTACTGGGAAAGCCAAGGACGCAAGCCCGTGGTCCTTGGGTGCGTTCAAGAGGTATTCACACGGAGAACTCTGCCGACAAGTATCGTGACGTCAGCAACACGGGACACTCCGTCCTCGGCTCTAGCATTCACACGGACGGCGGGGAGCCGTGAGGGATATCAGTGTTACCAGCTGAATTTAGCGGTGGCACTCTCGACAACAACGCCGCGGAGCACGCTGAAGACAGAGCTGCGCCGTAGTCGAGAGTAGGAAAATCGGGGCGCAGAGGAACCGGCGGTAAGCCGTTATGGCAGCAACGCTGCTAAGAAGGGACGACAACGACATTCTACTCACTGAAAGAAGGTTCCGGGTGAAAGGTTAAATGGTGAAGAAAGAACTTGGTATACAGAACCACGAAGAGCTGCTAGAAAGCGACTCCATGGAGTATCGACTACTCTTTCGGGTGCACCATGACGTATTCGGTGAACTACTGGCCCGCGCCCGTCCGCGAACACAGAGGCCAACACAGAATACAGAGACAGCCGCAGAGCGCATTCATGCACTGAACCAGAGATGGCGAAATTACTTTCAAAATGTAATTAAATTACATTACTAATTACTTTTTGAAAACTGCAAAAATGTAATTAAATTACATTACAAATTACCGCAGACTAAAAATAATGACATTACATTACAATTACTTCCCAAAAGTGATGAAATTACTTTGAAATTACTTTGACATTACTTTTGAATACCTCGAGGCAGTAAATCTTGCTCATTTTATTTACCGTATACACCAACACAGTGTTTACAAAACAAGCCCTCGTTTGCCCACACAGCGCGTGTACAGGAACCAGATCCGGCAGAAGCGAGGCGTTGCGCATGCGCAGTACCGACAGCAGCGCCATCGCAGTGATTTCACGTCAAAGAGCTGAGTTGGTCTATATTTACCAAAACTCACATCTTCCTGTTTACATCGCAATAACCGCAACAATAATTTACACCGCTTCTTTAGATGTGACTCAAAAAGACAGTCGACTCACCGGTTTCGCTGTTTATTCAACGGTGAAGGTTTTTACTAAAAGGGTGATATTTTTCCGTCTGTCTGATTTAGAAGTTGTAGTCCGTGTCAATTTGTTAAGTCGGGCAATGGCAGCTCGTTCTTTCAAGGAGTCGTCACGTCTCGCTTCTGCCTCGGACGTAGTCGAATTTTCTCCCGAGAGCACTATATACTCGGCGATGACTTTTCTTAGCAATGCAGTGAAGAGGAGGGGAGCACGCGCACCGCTTTATTCAGTGCTCCAAATGGGAGAGGGAACGCGTGCCTGTACCCTCCACTGCATTGCCAAGAATAGTTGTCGCCCAGTATAGTTGACCTATCCTCGGACATTTCTTTCAAGGAGTATTTTTCCGAAACACCTGAAGAGTCTTAGTTCTTGCGCATTGTCACGCAAAGGGCCCTGATAATTGCTAAGCAGAAGCGTCGCCAGTTGAGGAACGGCGCGAGCTTCTTAAATTGTGTACTTTCCCTACAAACGGGGGGCGATATCTGCTTGTAGGCTTATTCCCGAATAAACTTCCCAAGGGAAGGCAGCGAGGCATACCGCCAGCGAAACCTGCTTTGCTCGAGGACGCACGAAACGGTCTGGGGCTTTGACAAGGCATTTGGAATTAACTTTTTATTCCGGTCGTTTGTTGTTCACAATGGTCGAAGCTTACGGTTTGGCCTTGCTTGAAGAAAGTACAAGACTGGGGATCTGTTTGTTTTCATTACGAACCAGCGCACAAGTAGACAGGTAGTCAAAATCCAAACACACAAAAAACACACTCACACAGCGCTGAACTATCAACTGATTTGTATTTCAAACTTCCTCTTCTTCGACCCCAAGGTTTTGAATTATGTTTAACTCACTGGTGATGTGCCCGTCGCCTTGTAGCCTAGGAGCCGTTCATCCCTGAGCTGACGCACCGTCAGCATAGGGATGAACGGTGGAAACTACGTGTTTGTTAGAGCAGTCACACGTCTATCGTTCGCCACGTAACCACGCTCTCGTTCCTACCCACACGCAGAGAAAGAGACGGGACACGTGATTAAAAGAAGGTGTTTGATTGGTTCTGGTTAGCTTGCAGCTCCCACAGCACTGTCAGCTTAGAGAGGAACGAAGTATAGTGTCGTCGTGATGACGCGACGCCGTGCTCTCCGTCGCCTTTCCAGCCCTCCTTTGTGTGTGTGTTCAGCTCTTCGTACAAGGCTTTGCGCTCAGGTGGCCGTCGATTATTTCCTCTGATGCTCTTTTACAACGTTTTGCCATGCAAAATAATGTTTCTCGTCTTTCTTAAAGCTTGCGAATGAATTTTCTAATTTAGGACAAAAGTAATTTCAAAAGCAATGAGGAATTGTTTCGAAATTACTGCCTGAAAGTAATTCATTGCATTATTAAATTACTAGCCCGGAGAAGTAATTCATTACATTACTCATTACTCCAAAAAGTAATTTACTTACTGTAATGTCATCATTGCCATGTCATCACTGCCATCTCTGCACTGAACCAAATACGTCACTCACCCATTGTGAATGGCGCAAATTGTGGGAACCGCGCGAACATTTCTTCGCCGATCTTCTTCCATATTGACGCCTTGAGGTTTGGAAATAAACGTTCGGCAGCCCTCTGCCTGGTTAGGAATAGACATGAAGCGAAAAATAGGGGCTCTAGCCAAAAAATTAATAAGCATTTACCCGACGACTGGGCAAACGAGTCTGGTGTCGCTATTTAATACCAGCTAGAGAGCGCGTATTCTAACAATGTGTGTGTGTGCGTGTGTGTGTGCGTGTGTGTGTGTGTGTGTGTGTGTGTTTTAGGAGTCTCCGAGCTCACGCATCCAAATGCCGAGATAACTGGAGGTTAATAAACCCTCCGCTCTCTTCTTTTTATTTATTTAAGTGTTCATTTTCTTATTGGTGTGTTCTTGATGCCCTATCGGGCATTATACATAGCAAGCTGTAGACTGCTATAAACGATGTCGCAGCTGGCCTTTTTTGCCTTGCAGTTGCCGCGCAACGATTCAGATGGCGGTTAACTGGTTCTGTCACCACGTTTTTGTTGTTTGTTTTTTTAATATATATCTTTGCCGGCCTAATTATATGACGGTCTCTGTCGGATATCCACGCTCTATTTGGTCTCGACTACCCGGCAAGCAAGCAAGGCTCCCAACAGAAATCCCGCTATCAAGTCTACTCAGGTAAAACGACACACTTATAGATCTATGGAGCGCCGACTTCCCGCAAAGCCATCAGGAGAACCAATCGCAGCAATTTAGGGAGAGATCTTAACGAATGAAGGTGCAAGTAATATGCCTAAAATCAAAAAAAAAAAACTGTTTTTGTTGTTCATTTATTTATTTTATTTATTTATTCCGCTTAATGTGCCCACAAACAGCTTGAGGCCTTATTAGTGCGCACATATTACAAACAATAAAATAACAGATACAGAGCAACAAACAAGCAAGACGTGATTTAGAAAAGATAAAAGGAAATAAATAAAACTACGGTGAACATTGGGCATGGTGAATTATATGCTCAGTTACAGATAAGTAACAAAGATAAGTCTAACCTTATCTTTGCAGTACAGTGATCTGATAGTCTCTTCGAGTGGCATGTTTGTCTGCTCGACCGCGTGTATTAATAATAATAATAATAGCTTTATTTACCATGTATAAGCATGGTGGGGGCTGAGGAAAAAAGCTTTCCAATCAGATCTATGGATCTGCTTAGACATAGAATTCGTTCGAAGCAGTTTGTGTGCTCGTTCATTTTGTATTTTCATTGGTATTTCTTCGAAATGCTTACAGAGCGATTTTCGTGTTTTATA